TTTTGATATACTAAGTCAGATCGTCGAAACTAATTTGAAACAAAGAAACCAATTCCTTTGTTTTTTTTTTCACAAATCGATTTTCAGTTTACTGTATAGGGACATTCTTCAAATTTTTATTTTAATATGCATTTTTTAAATAAAGAAGTTAATCAAAATCGACAATATCACTACCTAGTAATCGGAATAAAATTAGCAATATCTTACTTCTTACTAAAATTAAAAATGCGAGAGTTTAGATGGATGAATGTTTGTTATAGTTTGTAGTCTAAACGGTAGAACGGATCTCGATGAAATGTGGTATACACCACTCTGGAAAAACACACTCTCTTTTGTTTTCTTTTTAATTCCACGCGCGCGCGAAAGCTACTTATGCTATAGAATAAGAATAAGTATTAAATAATATCTTTATTGCTCACTAATGTCAATTACATAAATCAGTGTTGCCTTGACTTCTTAACTAAGATTCCTGTTTTTAAGTAGCCAAGGACTTCCCTTACAAAGTGGCATACCCCTTACATTAGTGGTACAAAGCTATAAATTAAATGTTATTGAATCCAAATTAAAAGTCAAGGATACTTAGAGGTGTATATCCCACCGAGGCACAATCACGTTCAATGCGTAGGCATTAAAAATAATACAAATACATGAATTAAAACATAAATTCTCACTTAACCACCCCTATCTATTAAAGCATTGTTTTCTTATCGTTGGGATAAAGCTACTCTAATTAAAAATTCGTCCTAGTACAAAAGGCACAGAAGACATGAAGGGTTCCGTTCAATAGACAATTAATTTTTCCCAATGATTATTCATGAGATTTTAATACGTAATTTATGTTGCGTTTCTAAAGTTACCATTTATTTTATCATTAACTAGTGATTGATTATTGTTCTTACGGTGAAGGAAAACATCGTGATCCATCCTGCACATATCGGCTAAGATATGTTTTGAAGTCAACCAACCCGCAGTGGGCCAGCGTGGTTGACTATGGCCTGGTCACCCTAACTAAGGGTAGGCTTCGAGCTCCTCGGTGGGGACGTAAGCACACTTTACTCAAGTTACATATTTAGAAACGTAATTTATTTCATGAAGTTATCAAATACAAAACACTAACGAATAGTTAAACGAAGCTGGACAACCGAATTTAGCATAGACATAGAGCCAAGATTTGACTTTACAAACAACTAAAAGTAAAACCCTTTTACTTGTATTAAAATATTTTGTAAACAACAAACACAATCGACCTTGACGCTAAAACGCAATATGCCAAGTAACCTTTAAATGGACTATAGTTATAAATACAAATTAAGGATGCCGGAACTGCATAAATAATATACATTGACCATTTAAAAACAGTCTAAAATCTCTAAAAATAAAGGTATTTTAGCTTTTTTATTAATTTAAAGATATAATAGAGAACAGAAAAGTAAATCGAACCCTAATAAACCGCAGCACCGACGAACGAACGTGCGTTGTTAAGCTGATGAGCTTTTAAAATCGTTTACATTCTTTTACACACGTCGCGCATAAAAATAGCTCGAAAGGTGAACACTAAGACTGTTTTGGTAATGCCCTATTACTTGTTTGCGATAAACCAATAACTCGTCTTATATGTGAACAGAGCAAAGTATCTGTCTTCAATTAATGTAAAAAAACCGAATCTATTTGTGATGGCTCGAACGACGAGCCTTATATAAACTACACAGATATGAAATCATTGTTTTAATTGTGTTTTTTTTTATATCATAAGGTGGCAAACGAGCAAGCAGCCACCTGAATCCGCCAAAATGGCGAAGCGACAGCTGCCCATAGACATCCGCAATTGCAAATGCGTTGCCGACCCTTATCCGACGGAGGAGGAGACGCACATAAAAAGGATTTTTCCCCTTCCTATGCATCTCCTCCACCGTCAAATCCACTTCCCCTTCCTATCCTCTCCTTATGAGAAAAGGGTGGTAAAGAGAAAGGGACTTAAATTAGGCCTCCGGCACCACACTCATCAGATGAAACACGGAATTGATTCCATTTCACGCCTGTCTTCTGTGTAGTCGTGGTGTTACACCGGGCGTGCCGGCCCATTCGTGCTAAGATGTTAAGGCGGGCACTACCACTGTAATGTGTGTACTGTGTGTACTTACTATTATTAGGATATTAAAGGTTGGAACCACATTGGCATGTTTAGGTAATTATTGACAACAGTGGGCGTTGCGAGCATCGACGTTGATGACCCAGATGAGGTCAGAAGTTTATACCGTACAAACATGATATACAATTCGTGTTTGATTTTTTATAGTTCTTAAACCAGGTATATTAATATTTATAAATATGCATGGATTAGTACCCAAATGATACCGTTTGTTATAGAATGAAAAGGTATATTTCTTAATATTTTTACAACATACTGTTACCTTTTTGTTAAGATTAAAATGTCAGTACTATTTAAGTATACATTGAAATGTGATATGGTAGATTCCATAGTTACAAATTGAAATAAAATTTACAATTATTCCTGTAATTTATAAATTCAAAATGAACTTAACGAAATGATATCCTTTCATACGCTTAGTATTTAAGGTATCCTTATTTAAATATCTTTACATCTAATCATCGACAATAATAGAGTTAAGAGTCATCACAACGTAATCGGCTGATGAATCTCATACAAAAAGTTCAAGAGTAACAAAACATTCGACACTAATTGGCTAACACTGGTATAAATCAAATTTCTATATTATCTGATTGACAGTCTATTATCATGTGTTAAATCTACATTGTTATAATTAAGATTGGAGATATGTAAGTCATGTAAGAAGTCGTCAAATAATTACATTACGATCAATACAATATCCGACTTGAACCTTTTTAAAAATTGCTAAATATGTTTTTTTATATACTGTTGCATTTATTGATGGCCAGTTTTAACTTCTTTTCATATAGATATTTAGCTGTGGAAATCGATGTTTAAACCGAGATATTATCTCGCATCTATAATCGATGTTCCCCATGACTCATACCAAAATTACTTCCAACCCAAAACATAATTAAGTTAGACGTACTCGTATGTTCTTTAATTACAAAGATGACAGCTATCGGTTGTTCTTGTCTATATTAGAGGTTCAACTAGTTATTAGTGGTATTACACGTTAGTGGTAGTACAAAGGTTTTTATAATTAAAAACTACAATACCATGGAGTAGTATAGTTGTTAAGTAAAAAAGTATTTTTCTTCAATTAAAATAAATTTAATTATTTTATAGTACTTCTGAAACCTTGATTAAAATAGTTTTGTAACTTTTATCGATACATTTTGTATTCTAACTAAAACATTTCATTTTAACAAAATGCAGAAAAGTGCAAAAATAATTTTAAATTAGCCATTCGTAAGAATAAGCGCATGTAATTTTGACAAAAGCTTTAAACTCTTGATATATTCTAAAGTAGCTTATAGCGCCATCTATACCACAACTCTCGCACTGAGTGCCAACAAAGATATGAATGTGAAAATGGTGAGGCAGAAAACTTTTATTGTTTACGATTGCCGTCTGCGGCGCTAGTAGTATGTTGTGCTCAAGTCATATTTTTAAAATTGACTAACTTTTAAATTGTTTTTTTTTATGAATAAAACACATTTGTGGTAAAAAAAATATCCTTGAATATTTCTTGTAAGAAATTCTTTAACGAGATATGCCAGCCTCTTGCATTCTTGATAGAAAAAAGTTATTAAAAACAAAACCATTATTGGAAGCATATAAGAGTATCTCACATAAAATGTTTTCATATTTATCGTGGGAAAAATTATTACGTTCAATTAATATGATATTCCCGATCAGAGATCGATTACTAGTAATTATGTAATGACTGCTCCACTCAGAGACAGTATATTATTTCTGTTGCATTGGAATAAGAGAATTTCCTTATTACCGCAATAATGTTGAGCTCTGATAAACTTCCTTGCAATCATACTAATATTATAAAAGCGAATGTTTAGATAAATGGATGTTTGTTAGAGTTTGTAGCCTAAACGGCTAAACGGATTTCAATGAAATTTGGTATAGATGTAGAGGATAGTCTGTAAAAACGCATACAACATACATACATAAACTCACGTTAGTTTTTTTTTTCGCGCGTACGGAGTCGCGGTCAAAAGCTAGTAATTTATAAAACTTACACACTCTTATACGCATATCTGTCGTATGTAACAATAATAGCTGATTGACAAAAATCTACACATATTTGAGATTATTAATTTAAAAAAAAAAACAATTAAAACAGACAGAATACGGACATGGAAATTTAATTAAAAATTGTGTCGGATTACTAGCAAAATTAACCTTACAATAACTTTAACACAAAAATAAAAAAAAACGGTAGTAAAAATGAAAAAACATGTTAGAAATTCCGTTAATTCCCTCACAATAGGAAGGAAAGCGAGACATTTGCAAGCAGAGACTAATGTTTTTCCAATCTATCGCTAGATTTAAAATCTTATTAACTTCGAGAATTAATTACTACAGTGAGAGTCGACCTCAAGAAAGTTCAAAGATCAAGAGCACGACATGCTTTGCCAGAAATTATTTAACATTTAATACGTAAATATTTTAATATTAACACCATAATATGCTATTTTGAATTCTATTGTAATAGTTTAACGTTCAAATTTGCACATGGACTTAGTAAAGTTGGCTTACTTTATAAAATTTATATATTAACATAACATTGCATATTGATGTATTATTCTTTACAATATCGGAATATCGGATTATAGATTTCTACGCAATAAATGGATTAAATACCAAATTACTGAATGATTAGTAATCTGTACTAATATTATAAAGAGGAAAGATTTAGATTTTTGGATTTTTCAATACATTGAAACAACTTAAAAAACTATTGAGCCGATTTCAAAAATTTCTTTCACCATTAGAAAGTAACATATTTTTTTATTTTACGCGGACGAAGTTGCGAGCAACAACTAGAAAATTAATAAATTAGACATACCTTCTTTCACGCCTTTTTCTTCTCGACGTGCTGGTCCCTTTAATTGTTCTGTAGAGGGTCATCATTTTGAATATACTTTTTAATGAACTACACAACACTAATAAATTATAATTTGAATCAAACGGTTAATAATTCACAGATGATAAAAAATTATTACAACCACGTATCACTTTAATATTATTAACACTTCACGTAAAGAGCTCCATCACGAAGTAGGACCTGAAAAAAAAATTGTTTGATAACTAAACAGTATTTGAAAATTGTTCAACCTCAGTTGGAGTGGTATACCTCAAGACTATATATAACAATTGCATTCATTTACACCTATACATATAATAAAATTGTAGTGTCTGTTTGTAATATCAAAAGAAAAACGACAGATTTCAAGAAGATGATGTATTTACGTCGCTGATAACGAAAATCACATTTTTTTTTGTCCGTCTGTCCGCACCGCATTTGTTTCGGATAATCACCGAAACGGCTGGACCGATTTCCACCAAACTTTCAATAAAGGGTAGCAGACATGTACGGGCATATTATAGGCTACTTTTTTATCTTAATATTGCGTGGACGAAGTCGCGGGCAATAGCTAGATTAACATATATACACATCGTGCTAGTTAATGTTTCGAATTCATAATTTTTAAAACATCTCTGAATATATTTTTATCGTCTAATCGATTGCTAAACAATTGAATAACGATACTGTTGTCATTACGATCTCTATAGATAATAATTACTGCTCGTATCCGATTACCAATAGGCGATGTATTTACCTGTATTATACAGGTCAATGATAGATGCTGTAGGCGTTTGTTACAAAATTAAAAAGCAAATTTGTTTGCACATGCGTACGCAACATTATGAAGTAACCTAAACAATTATAATGAGTAACTACTGAAGTCGTTAATTCATCTCTAAGTCAGACCCTAAGTGTAAATACTCTTTACTAAATCCAACCTAATATAAACAACTAAATTTCTTTTTTTTATATTGAAGCGACCGTTGCCCATAAAAATGTAGACGACATTTGTAGATGCTCTGCCTTCTTTGTATCGACAGAATAAAGATCGAAAGGATACAGAAAAAAGACATTTCCTCTTCCTAACATAAAGAACCTAATGTAATAATGCAAGTAACTGAAATTACAAAATAAGTAAAGGTAAAATAAATACGAAATACTTGTTCCAATTCTTATTAAAATACCGTTGCCTTTGTACAAATAAGTCAACAAATATGTTTCCTTAGAATTAGTACAGTTCAATCAAAAATAGACTCTATTTCCCTGAAATACAGTCCTTTACAAAATCCTCTTACAATCGCCAATAGTCACCACAGGGCGGTAGTAAATGTGAACCGACCAGTTCACTAGCCCACTAACCGATTGATGTTTATCAATTAAAATTCTGACTCGATTTAAATTATTATCATTCGAGTGAAAATCGATTACTCACAACTTTCATTGGTTCCCATAAAACGCTTGTTTACTGATAATTTCTACTTTCATCAGCTCAATCAGCTGTTTTTACTTTGTATGTTCTCATCCATTCAAAGTAACGGAGCTATTTTACAACAAAAAAATTCTTAGGAATTTTCAATGAGTTTTCTAAAGCAGGAAGATCTACAAGAAAATGTCTCGGCTTTATGAGATTTTACCTAACACGTAATAACAAAAAATATTGTCTATACTAATATTATAAAGAGGATTTGTATTTTTGTCTGTATTGAAATAACTCAAAAACTACTGGGCCGGTTTTGAAAGTTGTTTCACCGTTAGAAAGGTAATTTATCTATGAGTAACATAGGCTATTTTTTAATAACACGCGGCCGAAGTCGTGAGTAACAGCTAGTATTAAATAATTACGTTATTTGTAATATTTAATTTTGGTAATGAAGAGTGACAAAGTTGGCATTCGCGTACAATGAAAACATAAATTTATTATTAAATTAGTTATTTCAACAGGAATTTGTTTCATTTAAAAATAAACATTTTAACATACTAACATAATTGTTGATGTATGAATATAATTAGACAGAGTTGTACCAACATTCCTAGTCAATTAAATTTATAAAGAGTCGGTAAATCGTAACATAAAGCATGCGTGTCGACGTGAAAGTTATATGTTTGTATCAAACTCGATTATAATGAGCAGAATATTTAACGTCCAATTACCAAAACTATATTTCAAAAACTTGGGACATAAAACTTTACGTTTATGAAAGAAGGCTGTAAAAAACAAGTTGGTCATTTCGTGGTAAGCAATTGACAACTTTTCAAATACTCAATTGAAGATTATAGAATTTTAAATTTAACAACTATGAAAACTATATAGACATTAAATGTACAATGGAATACGACACTTATTCTATCAATTCGCTATATTTAATGAAAAATATTGGAAAACAATGATATCGTAATCTAATTAGACACAATCATGACATATATTTTCACTCATGAAATATTCACACTCCACTGAATATTAACCCAAGACATGACATTATGATGTATGTATGAATAACTTGTTAACAAAGATCAAAGCCCCCGCCATACTAATTATTGGAATTTATAACCCTATTTATCTTCAGTAAACACTTTCACTACATCAAAAGAAAACGACGCCTAATCTTAAACTTTTATAATTTTAGGAATTTTCCGATAGTTAAAATATTTTCATAAAACAAACTTCCTTTTGTAAAAGGAACGGATGAAAGGAGACTACATGTGGGGGGTAACACGAATGGACAAGATACGTAATGAGTATACTAGAGGAAGTTTAATAGTAGCCCCCGTAGTAGAGAAGGTAAGGAGTAAAAGGTTAGCATGGTATGGGCATGTTATAGCAGGGATGGATTGCGTAAAAGGTTACATGATAAAAAAGGGAGTGATGACTGAGATGTATGATAGAGTTATGTGGAGGACAAAAAGCTGTTGTGCCGACCCTACGGGAGTAGGATAAGGAGAGAGATAATGAAACTTCCTTTAGTATCCATTCCATTTATCTTAGTGGTATACTTTTTATTTTTAATAAACTGTTAGGCAACAATTTAAAATGTATAAAGTATCAAAAATTATAATAATTCCAGGTAATATGCGTAACATGTTTCAGAAAGCCGTACAAGTTAATGAAAGCGTAAACAAATTTAATTATTCGCCTGTTTTGAAATTAAATTTATTACGTAAGAATAATTATGCATTTAAATTATTATAGTTCACGCATGTTCATATTATGAAATCAAAATTAGTAATATCTCTGTCTACAAAAAGTAAAGACTAATACTCGTATCACTGCAATCACCTCGACCTAAGTCAAACTTTATTCTGTAAAATATTTTTTAAGCAATACTAACTCATCGATCAAACGGTAATTAATTATTAATATTGCTACGGCACTTATCGGCAATTAATTAAGACATATTTAACCCACCTCGTTTCCAACCTAATGCGTAAATATAATTATTTTTAACTCTCTTGACTTCTAATGTGACATCAATTGCAAAGTTCACCTTGGCCAATTTTAACGGAGTTTAACGATATACGTACCATCTCTAGTTTACTATTCGCAAATTGTTTTATTACTAGCTTTCGCCCGCGACTCCGTCCGATGGAATAAAAAAAAGAAAACTGAGTAGCCCTATGTATTCTTCCAGACTATCATCTACATCTATACCAAATTTCATCGAAATCCGTTCAACCAATTAGGCTACGAACTCTAACAAACATCCATGCATCCATCTTAACGTTCGCATTAATAATTTTACTAGTATGATTTTCAAAATAGCATTTAAGCACAAAATTCTTTAATAATAACAATAGTTGAATAATATTATAGCATTGATTTAAAGTCAGTAAAACGCTAATAACAATAATCGACAGTATTAAAAAAAAATTGAGAGAGACAAAAACATTTTTCAATTTTATAACGTTTAACGTTTTACGTTTCATGGTATTTGCATACACTTTTATTAGCTAACTCTTTGCAATCAAAAAAATTACAATTATGCAACAAACAAATCTGCAATCCATGTTTCATAGTGATGTAACTGTTAAGTTACACGCAACAGGCAAATTTTCATCAGAAACTATAGCAAACTGTATCGTACTTAATTTTTTATTCATTCAGACATAAAAACGAAAAAACATGGGAATGAAATAGAAAATAAACGATATTGAAAACATTAAAAAGAATTGATGACCTGTTATTTGAAAGTTTAAATGGATGGATGGATGTCAGAGTTTGTAGCCTAAACTGCTGAATGGATCTCGATGAAATTTACCATGTTGAGGATAGTCTGTAAGAAGTAAATTGTCTCATAACAATCCAACGTGTAAAACATGTGATTAAAATATCAGCTTTTGTTCCTTTATTAGCCAGTGGTAGGAAGGGCCCTTAACTAACCTAATATAAGACAAATAACTCCAAAGAATTCAGTAAACCAGAATTTATTTCAGCAATTTCATAAGAACTACGTAATATTACATCTGCCTTCAACGCATTCGTGAAACATGAATAAGAAACAATAATTTCGCAACCTGAAATATGGCATAAATCTGAGTCACAATCGACTCGCACCGGACAGCAACAAGCAACTGGTTGCAGTAGCCGCTGTTTAAGGAATCAATACGAATTGGGAAATAGTTTTGATTTACAACAACCAGTTTTATTCAACATTACTATACAATGTACAATATTAAGGAATGTGAGTTACTTGGAGTTATAATTAATGTATAGCCTATTCAAACATGTCCAGAAATCAAGCTTTAAATTATCTAGCCAGATTGTGATTTTGAGTTACATACCTGAATTAACAGAACGATAACCTAAAGAGCAATCACCTACAATAACTACAAAAGATCATTGGCCTTCAAAAATAGACAATCAATGAAAAATATTTATGTGAGAGACGTCACGTCAACAAAATTCACGGAACGTCCCCCGCGTGTGTCGCAAAGCAACAAAGGCCAAGTTACTGTGCCACAATTAAAATGCGCCAGGCGTTACCGCATCCTGATTCCCTGATTGGAATATAATCAAATATCCAAGTGCAATAGACCTGTACATAAATATGAACATCTAAGAAATAAGGTGCTTGTTACATTGGACGTTACTATACTCCGTTGCATCACTTTTCAAAGGAAATGAAGGTTAATATTTTAGAGTGATGTTGAGGATGTTACAAAATTGTATACTGGCTTTATTCAATTCGTAAACTAAAATTTAGATTAGTTAGAGCTAAATAATGGAGTAACTAATAATGTACTGAAATTCCAATAGACCGGAATTTTAGGCTGCGCTTTTAGACTTGATTATGACAAATAGAATTCGTGTTTCCGTCAAAGTTTGGTCACGTACATTGCATCAGCATCGTCAATGTCAAAATGACCTTATTGGTTCATTACATAATATTTGAAAACTAATATGACTCAGCGACCTCTTGCCAAGGCTTCAAGACATCTCAACGGGGATACACGGTCGCTAATGACATGATTTACTCACCCCACATTATGTAAGCAAATATTCGTCAGTTTTCTTATTGCATTAGATTCTTGAAGCCCTAGACTTTAGCCAGAATCTTTTTTTTTTTTTTTTTCAATTTGTGGAGAAAAATATTTCGCGTAATATTTTCAATGGAATCTAATTATGATTATAAAGTATTATACTCTCATAATATAAAAGAAGCCTACATTTAATTGCGTTTTGTTTATGCATACTTGTAAGTCTTGAATCAAAGGTATTGAAAGGGCATACCGTATCAACAAATGGAATGTTGTCAGAAGAAATGTCCCCCCTCCCGTCACCCTTATATTAGCTTTAATTACCTGCTTTACTATGAAAGGATCCAAACAACATCTCTCGACGTACCGACCCTACGTATATCAAGCAATATTGACCATTAAGGTGATGAGACCTTAAAGATTCTTAGCAATTTAGATCGTTTCCTCATTGTTATCTTATGTCGGTTTATCAATATTAGCATAAGTCCACGTCACAGCGAGGAAAGGGGTAATCTCTTGTGAGAGAACATTGTATCTCTCTTGAGATATGTAACTCTAATATCTCGAGAAAGATGTAACTTTTGTCTTAATTCTTCCTCTCTGTTGGAAATATCTTGTCAATCTATATGGACATTCCGATCGATATATTAGTAAACAGTTTGCATTATGGACCGTAACGACCTTACTGTAATTTTTCGCTTTCGACATCGTAGAGTCAACGCGGCGCACCGGTAATGTGCGTACATCAAACAAATCGTGGCCCATCTCGTAGAATAACATAGTTATCTATGAACGATGTACCGTTCGCAGAACAAGACATTTAAAAAAAACAAAAATGGAATATAAATCAGAAAAACATAAATCTCGATGATGATAGATATTTTCTACACATGTCCTTCATAATTATAAATAATATAATTATATAGTAAATTATAATAACATACTAAAACAGTAAAAAGATTTCATTGAAAATCCCATAAACAAATCAATTTATGACACGTAACTCGATTTCAATATCAAATAAACATCGATAACCTTTTGCGGTACGTTTTGTAATCGTAAATCGATGTTATAATAGCCGCGAGTAATGAATCGATTCGCACCAAATCGATTCGTCTTCACTCTCGCTCGGACGCTACCGACACGTTTGCATCTGGCCACTTTCGATGATCGCTTGCGCAAGCCGCAATGCACATTAACGTATGCCATTCTTCTTTTTCAACACTATTGTATTGTTAAATAATTTTATGCTTTCAAATATTTTGTTAGGTTTCAAATGCAAATATTAATGGGTGAAGCCATTTTTCTGTTTGACAAATAAATTGATAACAATAAAAGTAAAACTTTTGTTATCGCACTTTTGGCATATTCAATCTATAATATAGATTTTTCACCAATGTCTACTTTTATTGTTAGCGTGATTTCTTTCTCATTAACTGGACTCCGGTTAAATCTGCGTATATTTATTCATATAGTTTTTCATTCCATTGATATTTTAAATTATGTACTACATTGGTACTTCTCCGTGACGTAATGACTCGAACCCAGCCTATAAAATGTCCCAAGGGCAGTCTCACCCTTTTCGTGCAAAATTTGGTAAAAAAAAATTAAAACGCTTAATTTGGCTTATTTTAAAATGCCTGGCAGGCAAATTTTGACCTTATGCGTCATCCTTGAAATAATAGCATAGATTTGTGAGACGCGTTTGGTTTATTATTGAATTGCCGGCTAAAAGAGTTTGAAAAATAAAATTCGGCTCCAGTAAATGTAAATTCAGGTCGTTGAAGTTCAATATTATGTATGGGTAATGTAATCATTTTGTGGCATTTTTGCTGGAAAGTTACGTGGTCACATTCCAAAAGGGCAAGTAAGAGAAAGTAATGCTATAAGAGTTTAACTTGGGTCATTTTTCTTAGCGCCGTCATAGAGAATTTAAATTTCAGGGAAGAAACTAAAATCGACCACAAGTGAAACAAAGGCTATTAATGGAAATTGAATATTTTCGATTAACAATAATTGTTTACTTAACTAGGACAAACACTTAATGTTGCAATATCAAAGTTTCAGTAACAAAACTTGTTTTAAACAAATGAATTATAATCCCAGAAGTAAGAACAAGTCCTGAGCTTACAATTATCTGAACATAACGATAAGATACATAGCAACATTTAGATTTGCTCCTATTTCATTCTAGTTTATATTATTCACTTACTAGTCTTTGGTAAATACTACTAAGGAGGCCTTAATCTAGTATTCTATTAAAATTTGCCTTGTTTCATCATCATCACCCCATATCTTCGATCATCTGCGTTCATTCCCTTCTTTATAATGTCACCTTTCACCCAATTTATCCATATCTTGCTAAGCTACCCTATAATGTATCTCCACATTGACTATAAAAGTGTTTCTTATCACAGGCGCTTGTCTCACGCATATGTTACAAATTTCCTCCGTCCTCTACTTACTTCAGTATTGTTGTACAACAAACTGTGGTCAGAAGTTCTCTTCCTACATTGGTTGCAATATAATCTAATTGTAAGCTGCGTAATACCATGATTTCTAACACGCGCAAGTATATTTGTGAGTTTTTAAAAACCGCAAAATTTAGGAAATAGATTTTTTTCAATAAATCACAATTTATAAAAAGATTTTGGAAGTCGTGACTCATTATTTTATACATATTTAGTTAAATGTACAATAAATTTGACTACCAAATATCAAACATGCATGTTTTCGATACAAAGACAAGAATAAATTAAATTATCATAATAGTTTTGGCGTGACACAAGACGGATTCCGTTTAGCCGAGGTCAAGTTAAAGGTGTCTTGTATACCTTTTTAAAATCCTCCATCCACATAAAAAATAATCACGAATTATGATGCTCGTGTGAATTTATATTACCATCGCTGAAGCATATCTTATTTCTATATAAAAATTGTAAAAAAAAAATTGTGTGCCATTTCTCTTTCCCTTTCCATGGTTTTATTCGTGTCTGTATTGCCACAGTTTTCATTTACAGATTTACCGGGCTTGAGGTGGCCGAGCGCTTTAGCGTTGCCTAAACCTCGTTTATGAGTAACTAGGCTCGAAGGTTCCCTCAGGAGCCTCAACACGGGCTGTTACTTCGTTATTATTACGGGATTGGATTACCATGGAAGATAAACAAAAAAACACGATTAAAAACGTGAATCGTTGGAATCCGAAGGAAGTTCATATTATGTATCCTTGAGCCTTGACGTTGATTGTGTAAAAAGGATGGTAGTATTAAATCACATAATTCCTGTACTTTCCAAATAGTGTTCCGTGTAACATTTAACATATAGTAGTGTATTTTTTTTTATTAATTAAAAACAATCATTTGACAAATTTACGTTGATAAACTTTTGTTCACGGACACAATAATTTTAGTAGATAAAATTAATTAAGAACCGCTTTTATTTAATGTAAATAATTAATTTAACAAAACGACCAAATTCTGAAACGAATCTTTAACATCAGGCTTCGTAAGTGCAGCTAACAATATACCAAACGTCAAATGTAATTTGGAGTTTAATGGCCTTATTTTTTAAGACGTGCATACATACATATTTAATTGTCGTTTCAATATTTGGCCGCAAGAATACCAACTGCCTTTACATCACTTAATGTAAATCGAATCACACACATCAAAATCGATATTCATTGACAAAATTGGAAACAACGTGTGAACAATTATTAACACCGTCAAGGGGAGACTGGTGTCAAAAGGTTTTAATAAAGATAACCTCTTACAAGGTACAGAGGAAGTCAGAATAGCGATGGCCATATTTTTCTGATGCATTAACAATGTATTATGTAGAAAGCATAATTTTAGCATAATTTTGACAAATAGTTACTACAATTTTATACTAAAGATTTTTTTTTCTAATTTAATCTTACGTTAAAATATTAACTAAGTTAAAAGTAATGAGATTATAATAAATTATTGTAATTTTATTTTAAATTGTATTACGTTACTTTAATTTATTTCCATGACTATACTTTGTTTAAAATAATCTTAAATTTAAATAATTAAATCGTTTAATTTATTTTAAAAAAATTAACATCTTTACCTCAATTTTTAAGTTACAGCTTATCCAAAACACTTAAATCACTTCACGGCTTACTGTAAATAACTAACGCACTAATGTCGATAATTCGCACTAATTTAAATTTCGATTCTAAATTCGAATTTTCGATACAATAACGGTTTAAAAATGGCGCGGTTTTTGAAGTCGCGCCACAATTGAAGCGTGTTGGCCGCTAGCTGGGCGCCACTACTTTGCGCGCGCGCCGTACACTCGCCGCACCACTAAAGTAGGTGACATAGAATTTTTTAATTAAATTAATTTATTGAAAACTATAACTTTTTAATTTTGACATATATATTTGAAATTTCCCGGCAACGGTTTGGAGTTCTTACGGTTTTAGTTGTCTATGGGCAATTATTTAATTAAAAGTCCCTATTTTTTATTATTGTTGTTAATAAACAAGTACTGAGATCTCCTTATAACTAAGGGACTTAAATTTTATATCTCATTTTTATTACTAAAGTGGTTTAATTAAGTTATATTTTTATATAATTCGTGACTTTACAAACATTTAAAAACTGCGGAAACCATTTACAAATCATATAAACTTTGTGCATGTTAGTTTTTCAACTCATTTTAAAGCTTTTATTGTAATTAAAGGTCAGAGCACGAAGCTTAACATTAGTATATCGTTAAAGAAACAAATTTATCAGTAATTAAGCTCTCAAACTTTATCCTACAATAACACCTACTGTTTTAATAATGTACAGGAATCGCGTATTTATGTAGTTACAGCAATTCGTTTAAGGCATTTGTCGACAGGATAGTACATTAGTATAGGAATTGTGCGTGAAAAATTGACATAGACGTAATTTGTACATGATTATAATATTCATCGTTGTAAATTCATTCTTCTAAAATTAAAAATATAAACGTATACACTAGTAAAATATTTTAGTAGTAGTACTAGTAAAAAGCTCTTCGTAACAGAGGTTGTATCTTAAATTAAACTTGGTGAAAGAGTATATCAAAATAATAAATAAATTGTTGCCTTAAACGACAAACTATTAATACGTCATCTTATATCCGACCTTGGTAAGATACACCTACAACAGATCTCAGTGAAATCGTCGAACAAACAAATCATCGCCGGCGAAAACAGAAGATGCACGCAAAGTTAAAGAAACAAGATACCGCTTTCGTAAAGAGGGAAAGTTAAATCAATTGTGAATATTTTATAATCAAAATGTGACCTTTAAACTTGAATATTTTTGACCATCTAATTAAGTTGACTCTAAGTATAGTTTCAAATAAAGTGTATAAAATACTTCAATTAAAGTACACACTTTCGTACAACATGAGAGGTGTATTTTTTATGTTTCGTAGGATGTGAAATAGTGCCTTGCGAAATACTCATAACATTTACTTAGGGGCCGTAAAAATCACACGGTTATGAAGAAACCGGTTTATTGATTTATTATTTATACGTTATTAGTATATTTGCGTTTTTCTATATCCCTTTTTAAGACCACCGTGGCTGCTAAAACGCTATTTATATTCAAGGTTTAGCTTTTAATATGCCTGTGACCTACTTGTCGGTCAACATACTACACTTTTTAGGACTATAACTGTTTTTTGCGAGCTATATGTACATAATGTAATGTCCCAAAAGAGTTGGCAAATAGTAGAGTCACTACTGGCATAATATTTTTTACATTTTTTCCATCTCTAGTGCCTAGGCACATTTAAACTGTCAATTAGTGGGTTAGCCGATACTCGGACTTTTACCTTAGTTATGAAAATTAAAAAGGAAATCGAATACGGAACCATAAGCAGGCGATAACAATCGCTAATGTGGCTATTTAAAAACCATAACTTTGACTCAAAGTCTTCCGACGTAGAATCGAAAGCGAAAACCAACATTATAACTGTGACGAAAAACCGAAACTTAACTTTCTTTGGCCTCCAAGCGTATTATATTTTGATAGATGATCTTATATTTAAAAAAAAAACAATTGCAATCTAATCTTTAAAATTCGTGATAAATCATACCGGTTTGAACAGCATATTTGATTATTGTAAATCCAAAATATATTACTAGGATCCAAACAGAAGTCGAGAAGGAGTAAATATATTTTATTTTAATTTCTCAATAACATTGCCAAGAATGCCAAGGCTTTTTGTAATAAAAAGTCGATAAGAATTTCAAGCAGGCTTGAGCACCTAAATATATTATTACATGCTGAATGACTTGTCAATATGATGTATTACTCTGTAATGTTTTATTAAGGTGCTAAGTACGTGAGCATTTTACACACAAAAAGCTGTAATTGTTGTCACGATTTACATTACGTTAATGGGGTAGTACGAACTAATAACAATCTTTTCTCACTTATCTCCCTAACTTTACTATAATAAAAACAAGAGGGTGAAAACCTGTACGAGTATAGGCGGCGACAGAATTGGCACATCGATTCGAAGATACTCTTGTTAGCGACATGGCGAACCAAACACCGAACACCAATAGCAATGAAAGTAATAAATATAATAAATTATCCTTTAAAATATACTGTAATAATCCTATAACGTGCTTCAGAATAAATTGAACATTTCTACAAAAGTAGTCGTAAAATGTGTATATTTTTTTCATCCTCGCTCAATCGGTGCAGCCGAACTGGTATGGCACACATACCTTATCGGCGTTGCTTAATGCGCTTAAAATGCTCAGTTACCTTGATATACGTACCTTCGATAGACGTAATTATTAGCAAAGAAATTATTAGAAGGTTCTATACCACTGGAAGGACTCATTTATACATTTTGGATATTATTTTTAATTAGTTTTAAGTCGAACGTTCAGTAAGTTCTTTCCAGGCTCATCTAGTTTGTCTTTACTTAAACCATATTGTTTTTTTTTATATCTTCTACAATTAAATAAACTAAGGACTATATTATATATAATCGTCTACTAGGAATAATATACGACGTCACATAACTGTAGGTCGCGACTAACGGTAGCTACTTTAAAAGGAAAACGTCCGGTTATCGTTATAATCGACTAGCGGCACGCCCAAGCATTCTCTATACGTATTCTAATTTATAATTCTAATGTATGGGTGTCAGCAGTGGGACAGGGGAGGATAATTGCTCTATAGTATCGAAAAATGTAAAATAGATATAAAAATGATTCGTAGATATATGGTAGCTGCCCACCCCTCCATTTATGCATCGGGGGAAATCTTCAAAAGATACTCTGCAGTCTGTGGAAAAGACAGGGTTATGTGGAGTTTGACCCACTAAAACCCCCCCAAAAAAGTAATAGAGTAGGGTTCCGGGATCTCCGTGACACTCCCCCCTCCCCCTTTAAGTCCAGATGATCGGCCGGCGATGCCCATGATAAAGTTCGAAACATTCGTTCAATAACTTCAGCTTCTATAGAAAGATTCTAGAGGATAGATGCTCTGCTATATATACTTTCGCAATACCTTCAACATACTATCTTAGGCATACGGTAAACGTATAATTTGTATATTTGTGATTAATACTCTGCACATGTGATGTTCAACGACCTCGAGACAACATTCTTTAACGTTCGAAGTTACGCACACGTTACGTTACGTCGGACAGTTGTGCGGACTTGTAATTACCATTTTCGGCATCAAGTATATCTGCTCATTTTTTTTAATAATAATGTTTGGGTAATAAATTAAATTAGATATGGGATTTGTGAAAGAGACTGATAAGTGTCAACCAAATAATTCATCATCATCTGTCAAATAAGTGCGAAGAAGCATTGAATACTTTTTTTTTTATAACATAAGGTGGCAAACGAGCAAGCGGCCACCTGAAATCGCCAAAATGGCGAAGCGACCGCTGCCCATAGACATCCGCAATTGCAGATGCGTTGCCTACCCTTATCCGACGGAGGAGGAGACGCACATAAAGAGGATATTTCCCCTTCCTATGCATCTCCTCCACCGTCAAATCCACTTCCTCTTCCCAACCTCTCTTTATAAGAAAAGGGTGGTAAAGAGAAAGGGACTTATATTAGGCCTTCAGCACCACACTCATCAGACGAAACACGGAATTGTTTCCATTTCACGCCTGCCTTCTGTGTGGTCGTGGTATTGCACCGGGCGTGCCGGCCCATTCGTGCTAAGATGTTAAAGCGGGCAGTACCACTGTTAAACTACCACTGTTACTTAAAGAAAGAAAAACAAATATCTCGATTTTTCTATTACATCGATAGTGTAGAGTTCACATTTGCACTCACCTGAAAGGATTTCACCCAAGTAGATGTTGCAAATGATATAACAGTCGAGCGATGTTGTTCAGAACGATACAGTCCAAACTTTTAATCTAACTACCATGATCTTTTTAAAACGACCACTTTCACGTTAAGTGGTATGTGTTTCAGTACTCTATAACAACATATGAGTACATACTATTAGCCAGTCAGTTTAGTCCACTTTCACTGCCAACCAATTACCACGAGCTAATTTACACGCATTCTTAACACGCGATCTTCTCGTTTAGGCGCCCATTTGTCATACGATTTACATCGCGTTGTGTATTAACATTTCAATGTATTAAGTATCAAATTAGCTTGCACTAAATGAAAGAAAGATTAGTTGAAGCAGTTTTTCAAAACGTTATGTCAATGTATGCCGTTTAGAGTGAAGTTATAAAAGACAATAATTACGTTTATTAATACAATTTTAGTCAGTTTGAGATTTTAACTTGATTTAACGAAGAAAACACTAATTATAACTGTTTACCTGATATCTGTTATTCTTTGAATACCTTTTTTTATAATACAGAAGGACAAACATCCAATCAGCCATCGTAATTAGTCAAATCTGCGAAAGGACTATTGTTAAAGACCTACGAAAAGACTGGACATGAAAAGGAGACCAAGATTAGATCTCCGGCACACACACTCATTGGATGGAAAACTAAATTGCTTCCAGTTGACGGCTGTCTTCTGTCACTCGTGAGAAGATGTTATAGCTGGTTCTACAACTGTTAAATGACATATGCTTCAAAGTTTATCTACACGTCCTTGAACATAGCACGCTACGAGTACTGCTACGTGGGATATCCGCTGAGTCAGCGATGGTAGGCGACGCAAGGCAACACAACGGTTGTGGGTGTGACGTGCATCAATCGTGGAACTCCTAGACTTTTAAGGCAGGTTAGCACGCGTCATTTTCGTTCACTAATAGAACACAGTCTGTAGGT